GGAAAACAAGATATTACGTCAGCTAGTTGGAGTTAAAAATGATCAGAGCGGAAAGGAGTGTCTCCTTCTTCAATGCTATGGCCCACTTTGGTTTCGCTTGTTTCGGCAGCCCCCATTTTTCTCAATCCTTTACAGTTACGCCCACGGCCCAGAAGTCTAAAAAAAAATTAAATGCTAAAAAGTACCACATAAGGAGTAACCCTCAAAAACTTGCACTTGCACTACTACCAACTGCATGCCTTATCTCTATTTTTTATAATATTGTGTCTCCGTATATGCAAACATTTCTCCACGAATTTTGCAGTTGGAATTGGGATAAGCCCGGCAAACCTTAGCAAAGCAGAACCACCAACAAAATGCGTTACCGAATCAATGAAACGTAATGGCAGAATAGGTATAGTCTGTTTAACGAAGTTTTTCACCTTGAGTAAAATGCTTAATTATATGTGGTTTTTACCGCTAAAGGATCTGAGGATTCTTTTCAAAATACAAATGAAATCTAGGTCGCTTTACGCTGTGATCATTACGTGATAATGGAACAGGTAACCAGCGGATGTACAGAGCCTTAAACAAACACTGCTTACAAGATTTCATTTGTCGCATCCAAGTGTGTTCATTACGTCAATCTACGAAGGAATGATCATAATCTTTTTAATCCACCTTTTCATTTGAATATTTCAATTTGAGAACTTCACTAATGGTCTTAGAACGCCCAGTCTTTTAAAGGGCGGATAACGCTATCCAGCGGATAAATCGCTATCCAGCGGGCAGGTGTTAGCAAAACCTACTGTGCTTTCCACCTGATACCAACTAAGCGGGTATAGCTGTGCACCCTTCGAACATCCGCGACAAGGACTAAACAGTCCTCCTAGGTAGAGAATTCTAAAGGGCTCCATCGAAGAAGAGTTTGTCCTTCTGTGTTTTGTGAAGGAATTTTGTGCAGTATATTGTAAATTCTCTACTGATGTTCACGCATTGATCAGTTTAGGCAAATATGTAAAGAGTTTTAAGGGAAAGTTGAAAGAAATTTCCGGTGGTCTAAATTATGCAACTGAACGCAATTTAATGATTTATAGTAAGCATCGCCGTAAGTTCAATGTGACAATGGAAAGTTCAGATTCTTTCTCCAACGAAAAAAGAGAACTAAAAAAATTGAATTCTAGCATAAGTTACTCCCAGTCAAGGAGTGCTCCACCTTCATTCTTCGGCACATTTTACTCAAAGAAAGGGCTGTTCTTGGCACGCGGTGAAGTGATCTTCTATAG